TTTTAAAATTTTTCAAAAATATGGGGCTTTTTTGTTACAATTGTTGTTGTTTTGAAAATGTTTTATAAAAATTTTTAAAAAAAAAAATGCAAAAAAAAATAACTTATGAACTTTTTGTTGTAAAAAGGAAAAGGGAAAAAAAAAACATTTATTGGTTTTTTCAAGGGGGGCCTCTTGAAAAACCCAAAAAAAAGTGAAAAAATTTCAAGTTTACTCTTTTTATTATTTAATTTTTTAATTTTTTTGAAAAAAGATTAATTTCCACTTATAAGAAAAAAACAAGGAAAAAGTTTGATTTATTAATTTTTTTTTTTTTTTTCTTCCTGATTAAATTTTAATTTCTGGTTGGCATATTTTTGGGAGGACTTTCTTAAAAAATGATTCCCAAAAAAAAATGTTGCTTTGCTTTTTTCTTAGTTTTTCCCAAAGTACAGCTTTCCTGGTTTTTCCCACTTTTATTTAGTTTTTTTCCTTAAGAAATTTTTTTTTTTTTTTCGGCAAAATTTTAAATTTATGGGGGGGTAACAGATTTTAAAAGGTTTTTCAAGAAAAAAAAATTGGCCCATTTTTCCCCCCTTCCCCCCCAAAAAAAAAAAAAGTCTGAGTTCCTTCCATTTTTCATGGGGGGGAAAACCAATCCCCTTTAAAAAAAGAAATGGTTTTTGCAAAAACATTTTTTTTTTTTTTTTTCTCATCATTTATTTTGTTGTTTATTATACCCCGCCCCTTTTACCCCCCTTTTTACCCCCCCCAAAAAAAAAACCCTTTGCCCAAAATAAAACCCTTTAATTTAAAACTGTTTAAATAACTAAATTGGTTTCCAAAACTAAAAGGTTTTTTTTTTTTTTCTGCTTTTTTTAACTTTCAGTTAAAAATTTACCCAAAAAAAAGCTTTTTTGCTAAAAAAAGAAGAAAATACTATCTTGGGTGCTTGGTTTTTTTCCATTTTTCTTTTGGGGATACCTTTTTCAAAAACTTTAAGGTAGTTAATGGGGTTTTTTCCCAGCTCTAAAAAAAAAAAAACCAGAAAGAAAATAATTTAAAAAAAAAAGATGTGCTATATTTTTTTCCAAACCATTTTGTTTTCTTAGAAAAAGCTTTGAAAATTAAAGGTTTAAAAAAACTTTTCCAATTTTGGTTATAAACATCCAAAAATACCCCAAAAACAATTTTTTTCTTTTTAATTAAAAAAAATCCATTTCTTTGGATTGATGGCAATTGGGCTGTTTTCCCCCAAAACAGCCTTTTGGCAAAAATTGATTGGGAATTTTTGTTTTTTGTCTTTGCTTTGATTAAAACAATTCGAAAGTGGCAGGGTGTTTTTTTTCTTTTTTTTTTGTTAAAAGAAGTTTTTGTTCAACTTGGAATCAATTTTGGGTTAAAAAGGATGGCCCAAAGGCAAAAAAAAAAAATTTGGGGATTGCTTGCGATTTTTCCAAAAAAATGGTAAGATTCCACCTTTGTAAATTCGCTTTTAAAAAAGGTATTTTTTTTTCTTCAATTTAAATTTTTTTTGCTTTTTTTTGTCCACAAAAGAGGTTTTGAAAACAACTGTGCCAAAAGGTCTCCACCAAAACAAATGGTGGAGTGTTTTTTCCTCTTTTTTTTCTTTTTTTCTTTCCCGGCCAAAAAAAACCACGGCCCAAAGCAATTTATTTTTTGTTTTTTGAGATTTTTTTTATTTAAAAAAAAAAGGGCCATTGCTTTTTCACTTGGGGGTTTAAAAAGGTTGAAAAAAAAACATTTTTAATTTTTTTCTTTCCCAAAAATTTTGTGGGTTTTTTGAATTTTTTTTTCATTTTTCCCTGAATTGAATTTAAAAAAAGCAGATGTTTTGAAAAAGGCAGATTTTCTTTTTCAATAATGGGTTTTTGTTTGGGCCATTTTTTTTTTTTCTTTTCTTGGTCTTTTCTTTTTTAGGTAAAAAAAAAAAATTTTTTTTTCTGTTTTTCAAAAAAAGGTCTTTTTTGCCCAAACTTCTTTTTAAAAAATTGGGGGTTATTGATTTTTTTCTTTTCCTTGAAATTTTTCGTTTTTTTTTTTTTTTGAAAAGTTTTTTTCTTGAAAAAAAGTTATAATTTTTCTTTAAAAAAAAAGTTTAAATTTTTTCAGGTTCCCCTTATTCGGATGCAAAAAAAAAAATTTTAAGGATGGCAAAAAAAAAAAAAAAAAAAATTTTTTTTCTTTTTCCCAAATTCTGTAAAAGGGTTTGTTCTGGTTTTTAACTTTTTTTTCAATTTTTTGAACTATTTCTTTTTTTTTGGGGCTGTGCAAAAAGAAAAAAAGCTTTGTAGGGTTTTTTTGAAAATCATTGGTCCCATTTTTGTATTTATTTTTTTTTTGTTCCCTTTTGGCTTGTTTTTGAAAAAATTTTTGGCCTTTTGGGGGGGGAACTTTTTTCTTCAAAATTAAAAAAAAACTCTTTTTTTGGCCCCAAGGCCCAAAAATTTGTTTTTTTTAGGGAGAAAAAGTTTTGTTTTTCCAAAAAAACTTTTTTTCCCTTCCTTAAAGAAAGTTTCTAAAAATAAAGTTTTTTCATAATTTTTTTTTCTTTTAGGTTTTAAGTTTTCTGTTTTTTATCCAAGGGCGTTTTTTTGAAAAGGTTGGTTTTTTTTTGTTTGAGAAAGGGGGTGAAAAAAGGTTTTTTTGGTGGTTCCTGTTTTTAAAAGCCTTTCTTTTTTTTTTTTTTTTACAAAAAGGGTTTGGCTAAAAAATTTTTTTCCAAGTTTTTTTCCCAAAAAAGCCAAAAACCATTTTTTTAATTTGGAAAAAGGAAAAGGGGGGTATTTTTTTCTTTTTCCCCCAAAGCGTTATTTTTTTTGTTTTCTTTTTTTGCTTTGTTTTTCAAAAAAAAAAAAAAAGATTTTTAGGATGGGGGAACTTATAAAATTTGAAGGGATGGGTTTTGATTAATTCAGGATTTTCCAAAAAAAAAAAAAAAACAATTTTTTTTTCTGTTTCCCAACTGGGTCCAAAAAATATTTTTTCTATTTTTTTCTGTTTGCCCCAAAAAATAACCCAATATTTTGGTTTTTTTAAAATTTTTTTATACTACAGCTTTGTAGTATATTTGATATCTGGCATATTATATGCCTCCCAATTTTCGGTTTTTGTGGCCTAGAAGTTGCTCTTGATATTTGGGTCTTCTTTTGGTTCCATACGAAGCGTAACAATTATTTTTTCTATCATCTTTGAAGAATGTTGATGGGGATTTTACATAGATTGCTTGAATCTGTAGATCAGTTTGGTATATAACATTTTGATGATATTGAGTCTGCTGAGCCACGAGCATGTATTGGATTTCCATCTGTTTCATCCTCGTGCTATTTCCTTCCTCAGTGTTTTCATAGTTCTTCCTGTTAGAAAGGTCTTTTATTCCTTGGTTAAGATATTCCTAGTACTTAATTTCTTTGTTGCTATTGTAGGAATTGAGTCTTTGATTTGGTTCTCAATTAGATGTTTTGTGCGTATATGAATGCCTCTGATTTTCTGTGTATTGATTTTGTAAACCTGAGACTTTACTAAATACTTTGATCAGTTTCCAGGAGTTGTCTTGGTTGGAATCCTTGGGGGTTTCTAGATACAAGTATCATATCATCAGCAAACATAAAGTTTGATCTCTTCTGCCCATATCTGGATACCTTTGATTCCATGTTCCTGTCTGATTGCTGTAGCCAAACGTTTTTTTTATGTTCTAGTACTATGTTTGAACAGAAAGTGGAAGATATTGGCAGCCTTGTCTGGTTGCCAGTTCTAATTGGAATGATGTTCAATTTTTCCCCATTTCAGTATTGATGTTGGCTATCGGTCTTGTCATTATGGCTTTATCATTTTTACGGATTTCCCTTCTATGCCTATTTTCTCAAGTGTCGCTATCATGAAAGGGTGTTGAATTTCAAAAGCTTTTTCGCCATCTATTGAAAGAATCATTGTGGTCTTTGTTTT